AAAAAAAAAAAAAAAAAAAATTGCCAAACCCCTTTCTACCATAAGCCAAGTCCAAGTCTCTTTTACTTTGCTGATCCTACATTTTCCAAGTCAGTTGCCAGGGACATATCAAAGAATAATATTTTTAGTCATAAAAGACTGCTATTATTGGCCAGGCGCAGTGGCTCATGCCTGTTATCCCAGCACTTTGGGAGGCCAAAGCAGGAAGATTGCTTGAGCCCAGGAGTTCAAGATCAGCCTGGGCAACATGGTGAGACCTCATCGCTACAAAACAAACCAATACACAAACAAACAAACTAGCTGGGTGTGGTAGTGTGAGTCTGCAATCCCAGCTACCTGGGAGGCTGACGTGGGAGGATGGCTTAAGGCCAGGGGATAGAGGCTACAGTGAGCCATGATGGTGCCACTGCACTCCAGCCTGGGCAACAGAGCGAGACCTTGTTTCAAAAGAAAAAATAGACAAAAAACAAAAGACTGCTATTATCAAGTGAAAAGAGAAACAAGAACAGAGACTCCATACCTCTTCTTCTTCACACACAGGACTCAAAATCCAATATCCCACGGCTAATAGTTCATGACTCTGGAGTCAGACTATTGGTTCAAATCCTGGCTCTACATTTAGGAGCTGGATGCCCTTGGGTAAGTGGCTTAATTTCTCTGTGCTCTGCCAAAGAGCTGTGACAGCAGTACCCACTTTCTAGGACTGCTGTGAGAATTAAATGAGCAACTGTGTATTTGGAAAGCACTTCAAGTGTACCTGGCACAAAGTAGGTGCTTTGCATTAGTCATGATCTCCCCAGGGGCCAACAAATCCCACCCGTTGCCTGTTTTTGTATACAAAGTTGGGTTTTTTTGGTTGTTGCTTTTTTGAGACAGGATCTCATTCTGCCACCCAGGCTGGAGTGCAGTGCTGTGATCACAGCTTACTGCAGGCTTAACATCCCAGGCTCAAGTGATCCTCCTGCCTCAGCACCCTGAGTAGCTGGGACGACAGGTGCATACCACCACACCTGGCTAATTTTTGTACTTTTTGTATAGATGAGGTCTCCCTGTGTTGCCCAGGTTGGTCTCAAACTCCTGGCCTCAAGTGATCCTCCTGTCTCAGCCTCCCAAAGTGCTGGGATTACAGAAGTGAGCCACAGTGCCCAGCTTTAGTTTTTTTTTTCTAAGAAATGGCGTCTTAGAATATTGCCTAGGCTGGACTTGAACTCCTAGGTTCAAGTGATCCTCCCATCTCAGGCTCCCAACAAAGTTTTATGGGAACCCAGCCATGCCCATTCGCTTACATTGTACAAAGGCAGTGTTGAGTGGTCAAGACAGAGACCACGGCAACCTGCAAAGTCTAAAATATTTACTTTCTGGCTTACTTTTTCTTTTCTTTCCTTTTCTTTTCTTTATTTTTTGAGACAGTATCTCGCCCTGTTGCCCAGGCTGGAGTGCAGTGCCACGATCTTGGCTCACTGCAACCTCTGCCTCCTGGGTTCAAGCGATTCTTCTGCCTCAGCCCCCCAAGTAGCTGGGATTACAGGTACGCACCACCATGCCCAGCTAATTTTTGTATTTTCAGTAGAGACGAGGTTTCACCACATTGGCCAGGCTGATCTCGAACTCCTGATCTCAAGTGATCTGCCCGCCTCAGCCTCCCAAAGTGCTGGGATTAGAGGCATGAGCCACCGCGTCCGGCCACTTTCTGCTCCTTGTTAGAAAATGTTTGCGGACTCCTGACCCACCCCCGGTTGGGTAACAGGCCCTCTTCCTGCTTACGATCAGCATGATCACCAGCTGGTTCTTCTTGGCCACCTGTGCGTGGGAGAAGATGCAGTCCAGCACCTGGGACATGTCTGGCTTGAACTGCTCCCTGAGGTTTATCACACACTTGTCGTAGTGGGCTAGGGGGAGACAAAACACCACGCAGAGGTAAAGTTCAGGCTCCTCAGCCCCCCACCATCCCACTGGTGTTGGCATCAGCATCTCTTGCCTTGCTGAAAATGGTGCTCGACATGCAAGTATCTTCTCAGGAGATCCAACACCACTGTTTTCATATAGCCGCGGATCCCGCTGCGGTATCTGGGGAGAAGGGAAGGCTGCTCTTAATGCTCACACCCCTTCCTTGAGTACCTGAATATTTAATATTTTCTTTTTATGATTTTTAAAAAGAGAAAGGATTGGCTGGGCGGGGTGGCTCACACCTGTAATCCCAGCACTTTGGGAGGCCGAGGCAGGCAGATCACGAGGTCAGGAGATCGAGACCATCCTGGCCAACATGGTGAAACCCTGTCTCTACTAACAATACAAAAACTAGCTGGGCGTGGTGGCAGACGCCTGTAGTTCCAGCTGCTTGGGAGGCTGAGGCAGGAGAATCACTTGAATCTGGAAGGAGGAGGTTGCGGTGAGCTGAGATCGCACCATTGCACTCCAACCTGGGTGACAGAGCAAGACTCCATCTCAAAAAAAAAAAAAAAAAAAGAGAGAGTGAAAGGATTTTAGAAAGGACATGGAGATGGAAGGATCACTGGAGCCCAGGAGTTCAGGCCTGGGCAATATTGCCAAGACCCAATTTCTACAAAACAAAACAAAAAATTAAGGCCAGTCATGGTGGCTCACGCCCATAATCCCAGCACTTTGGGAGGCTGAGGCAGGAGGATCATTTGAGCCCAGAAGTTCAAGAGCAGCCTAGGCAACAAGGTGAGACCTTGTCTTTACAAAAAAATCAAAAAAATCAGCCGGGAGTGGTAGCGCATGACTGTGGTCCCGGCTACATAGGAGGCTGAAGCGAGAGGATCACTTGAGGCCAAGAGGTCAAGGCTGTTGTGAGCTACGATCGCATCACTGCACTCCAGCCTGGGCGATAGCTTGTCTCAAAATAAATTTAAAAAAATTAATTAATTAACTAGTTAATTTTAAAATAATTTTTTTTAAAGTATCTAGAGGCAGCCTCTAATCCTGAGGCCTTCAAAGGATGTGGAGTTGGTTCATCTGCAGGCCAGAAAGAACACTGCCCTGCCCAAGGTCCCACATCAAACTGGAGGCAAAACCGGAGTAGATCCCAAGCCTAATACTTGGGAGGGCGCCTTTCTGGCCACAGAGAAAACAAAAACAAACAAACAAACAAACAAACACACACACCCCTTAATAGATTTCGGATACTGAACGGGGTAGCCAAGTTTAGCAAGCTTTAACCATTAAAACAAAATTTTTCAATCACTTACCCAATGTATAGAGACCATTTTAAAAAGACAAACTGGAAAAACATTTACCAAAAGATCTCCATGTAAATTTTGCTTCTCTCTTTTTTTTTTTTTTCTTGTTTTGAGACAAGTTCTTGCTCTGTCACCCAGGCTGGAGTGCAGTGGTGCAATCACAGCTCACTGTCATCTCTGCCTCCCGGGCTCAAGCAATCTTCCCACCTCAGCCTCTGCAGTAGCTGGGACCACAGGTGCCCACCACCATGCCCGGCTAATTTTTGTATATTTTGTAGACGGATTTCACCATATTGCCCAGGCTGGTCTCGAACTTCTGAGCTCAAGCAATCCACCTGCCGTGGCCTCCCAAAGTGCTGGGATTATAGGTATGAGCCATCGCACCTAGCCGCTTCTCTTTTAAAACAAAGTTTTAACCTGGATGTTCCTCCAAAAATCTGAACGCAGGGGTCAAGTTTCTCAGGAGATGTGACACTGAGTTGTGGGGAAGTAGAAACTAGCTTAACTGCAGCATCACCAAATAACAACAAAACAGATCAAGATGCTAAAAGACTCTCTGATCCGAATGTGATTTTAAAACACATACTTATACAACACAGGACAGAGTTTTAATACTTACGTTCAGCACAGAAAATTCGCCAGAAAATTCAGTTAATTTATTAATGATTCATTTTTCCTAGATGTTTCTCTGAAGCTTAAAGGATGGGCTTAAGGTTAGCAGTCGATGTGTTTTAAGAGGACTCCCTTCCTAGCCCCTGGCTGTGAAACTTGCAGTTTGTGGGGAATCCACACTAAAATCTCTCCCTGACAGCTGGGCAGCTCCCTGAAAAGAAGGCCGGTTTTCTACAATCTTACATTCTTTGTACCTGGGAGTTTCTGGCACATGGGAAACATGCCTGGAATTTATTGGTTTAAATCCAATAATGCTTTGATTCCTTTTTTTCTTTTTCGTAAAAGACAAGGTCTTGCTCTGTCCCCCAGGCTGGAGTGCAATGGCATGATCACAGCTCACTGCAACCTCAAACTCCTGGGATCAAGCAGTCCTCTCACCTCAGCCTCCTGAGTAGCTAGGCCTATAGGTACACACCACCATGCCTGACTCTTTTTTTTTCTCTTTTTTTTTGTACAGACAGGGTCTCGCTACATCACCAAGGCTGGTCTCCAACTCCTGGCCTCAAGTGGTCCTCTTGCCTTGGCCTCCCAAAATGCTGGGATTATAGGCATGAGCCGCAGCACCTGGCCCTGATTGTCTTCATAAGGAAAGCTTTCTTGCTAGGTGGATTTTTCGTGAAAAGTGGCAGAAAATCCTTTTGTCGGCCAGGCGCGGTGGCTCACGCCGTAATCCCAGCACTTTGGGAGGCCGAGGCAGACGGATCACCAGGTCAGGAGATTGAGACCATTCTAGCTAACACGGTGAAACACGGTCTCTGCTAAAAATACAAAAAAGAAATTAGCCGGGCATGATGGCAGGCGCCTGTAGTTCCAGCTACTCAGGAGGCTGAGGCAGCAGAAGAATGGCATGAACCCAGGAGGCGGAGCTTGCAGTGAGCCAAGATTGTGCCACTACACTCCAGCCTGGGCGACAGACTGAGACATCATCTCAAAAAAAAAAAAAGAAAAAAAAAAATCCTTTTGTCATCAGAATAGTCCTGCAGCAGAAAACCCCTGTACAATAAAAAACTACTTGAGACAAATTCAAATTATTCATCCACTTTCCTTTGCAATTGTCCCAAAAGCCACAATGATAACAATTTGTGCAGTCTTTTATCATACATAAAGCTATTTCACCACATTGTCTCAATCTAATGTAACTATCAAGTATTTACTATTTGTCAGCACTTCACAAAACTTAATACATTTATAGGCCAGACATGGTGGCTCACGCCTGTAATCCCAGCACTTTGGGAGGTCGAGGCGAGTGGATCACTTGAGGTCAGGAGTTCGAGACCAGCGTGGCCAATATGGTGAAACCCCGTCTCTACAAAAAGTACAAAAATTGCCCGTAATCCCAGCTACTCGGGAGGCTGAAGCAGGAGAATCGCTTGAACCTGGGAGGCAGAGGTTGCAGCGAGCTGAGATCATACCACTGCTCTCCTCTGTGGGAAGGAGCCTCTGTCTCAAAAAAAAAAAAAAAAAATTCATTCCTTTATAATCCAAACAACTTGTCTTGAAAAGTGTTTTTATTTCCATTTTGCCAGCCGGCAAACAGCTTCACAGAAGTAAAGTGCCTTACCCAGGGTTCTGCTGTTAGTAATGGCACCGCAGGACCATAACTTTCTCGCAGTGCAAGCCTGCCCGGAAGACAGCCCCAGAGCACCACCCTGGTGCAATGCATGCGACGATCAGGTGACAACCACATCCCATGGGGAGACCTAGGATTTACCTCTGGACCAACTGCACGATGCTCTGGGTGTTGATGAAGAAGACCTCTCGGTCAGCCTTCCGCTGCAGGGTGGCTGCGTGGCAGTCCAGGATGGTGGCTATCTGGATGGGAAAACAAGACAGATCTGACTGCTGATGATTCACATGCCACACAGCAGTCCCCTAAAGCAGGGGTCCCCAAACCAGTACCCAAACCAGCACCGGTCTGTGGCCTGTTAGGAACTGGCTGAACAGCGGGAGGTAAGCAGTGGAAGAAGGAGCGAAGCTTCGTCTGTATTTACAGCCCCCGCATTGCTCATAATACCATCTGAGCTCCACCTCTTGTCAGATCAGCGGGAACATTAGATTCTCACAGGCGCGCAAACCCTGCTGTGAACCACGCCTGTGAGGGATCTAGGTTGCATGCTCCTTATGAGAATCTGAGGCCTGATGATCTGTTGCTATCTCTCATTACCCCCAGATAGGACCGTCTAGGTGCAGGAAAACAAGCCTGGGGCTCTCACAGATTCTACATTATGGTGAGTTGTATAATTATTTCATTATATATTACAATGTAATCATAATAGAAATAAAGTGCACCATAAATGTAACGCACTTGAATCATCTTGAAACCATCCCCCTCCCCGGTCCGTGCTTGAATCATCCCGAAACCACCCCCGTCCCCGGTCTGTGGAAAAACTGTCTTCCACAAAACCGGTCCCTGGTGCTAAAAAGGTTGGGAACTGCTGACCTACAAGACCCACCACAGCCTCCCAGGGAGGTCCCATCCAAGGCTCATTTGAAGATTGAAAATTCCAGGCCCAAAGCCTTTCAGCTACCCTGCAACACCCCTGTTCATCCCTTCAACGGTGAGGAATTCAAGCGCTCAAAATGCCAGCAATCACGTGGAGAAGTGCACACATTCGCCTTCTACCGGTCCGTACATATGAACGGGATGGGGAATGAGGAGATGGGAATGTCCCACTCTAGCAAAAACCAGGGTGCTGGTGGGGAAGGGTCCTGTCTTTATCATTAGACGTAATGTTATTGGTATATTGCCTTTGGCATCAAAAATATTTTTAAAGAAAAAAAAAACCTGGATCAATGACAAATTCCTGAAAGTTCCAAGTGTGTACTTTTTCAGTTAGGATCCTCTAGAGTTTGGTTTTTGTTATTTTTTAGTTCAGATATACCTTACATACCACCATATTCCACCATCTCCCTTTAAAGTGTACATTCAGTGGTTGGTAGTGTATTCATAAAGTCGTGCAACTACCACCACCATCTAATGTTAAAGCATGTTCGTCACTCTAAAAAGAAACCTTGTAGTCATTAGTGCTCACTCTCCATTTTCCCTGCATTGCAGCCCCTGGCGGTCACTAATCTACTTCCTTCTTCATGAATGTGCCTATTCTGGACATTTCATAAAAAATGGAATTACACAGGGCTGGGCACCGTGGCTCATGCCTGTAATCCCAGCACTTTGGGAGGCCGAGGCAGGAAGATCACCTGAGGTCAGGAGTTCAAGACCAGCCTGGGCAACATGGTGAAACCACATCTCCACTAAAAAAACAAACAATTAGCTGGGAATGGTGGTGTATGCCTGTAATCCCAACTACTCGGGAGGTCTCAAAAAAAAAAAAAAAAAAAGGAATCACATAATATCACATAATATGTGGTCTTTTGTGCCTGGCTTATTTCCCTTAGCACAATTCATGCTTCATCCACGTGGAAGCATAAATCAGTATTCTTTCTTTCTTTGGCTGGACAATATTCCAGCCCTTAGAACTGCTAACCTCTGAGAATGGCCTGAACGACACTGTCCTCTGGTTTCCCAAATCACCAATGTGTGGGCGGGTGGATGACGATGGTGAGGAACCCTCTCACCAGCGGGCAGGAAGGCCAATAGGCAGAGGGGCTCTTCCCAGTGCAAATGCCTTTCAAATGCCCCACAAAACCAACAACCACAACAAAATGAGCAACGCAAGGCCAGTGTGTACATAACAGAGATATTTCATACTACCCTGGAATGGCTTCCATTCTTTTTTTTAACGTGTTCACAAATGCAACTATGATTATGATGAGACATCTCAGTACATTCTTTTTTTGGGAGCGCAGTGGTGCAATCTCGGCTCACTGCAACCTCTGCCTCCTGGGTTCAAGCAATTCTCCTGCCTCAGCCTCCTGAGTAGTTGGGACTGCAGGTGCATGCTACCATGCCTGGCTAATTTTTGTATTTTTAGTAGAGATGGGGTTTCACCATGTTGGCCAGGCTGGTCTCAAACTCCTGACCTCAAATGATCCACCTACCTCGGCCTCCCAAAGTGCTGGGATTATAGGAGTGAGCCACTGCACCCGACCTCAGTACAGTTCTTAAAATACTATATATATATAGGGGTGTGTATGTGTATATACACATACACACACACACACACACACACGGAGCTCCCAGATGATCACCTACGAAATCCAGGGACGGAAAATCAAAGCTGCAAACCAGTGAAAAAACAAAAATTAAAAAACTTGCAGTTTCCTCTAATGATGTCAGCCAGTTTATTTGTTTGGGAAATGCTCACTCCATCTGCATCAACTCCATCGGAATCTTGAGTTTTACGCAATAAGACCTAAGGAATGTTGATGTTCATTCAAACAACTGTTGCTTTGAGTAAATGATGGGATTCTGCAGATGAGGCTTGAAAGGAAACCCTCGGCCTGATATGTTAGGCTATAAGTGGGTCTCAAGGAGTTCAACTTGATCAGAGGCCAGATATGGAGCCAGACTGGGAGCCAGCCCAGTGTGACCATCCTGGTGGGGTGGGGCTGGGTGGGGGAGCACGTACCTGCTGGCTGGGGAACTGGCACAGCACCGAGGTGATGTTGCTGGCATACTGGGCCATCACCCTGCGGACTGACTTCTCCACGGGGGCTGGGATGCGGCCTGCCACGCTGGTCATGATCTCCTGCAGCTCCAGCAGCGGCAGTGACGGGTGCCGGAGGGTCATCATGAGCTTCTGCACCCACTCCTTCAACTGAAGCGGGGACCACAGCATCAGCCCCCAGCCCTGCATGGGCATGGGCACCACCCCCCACAACAGGGCACCCAACACAGCTCAACCCATCCTGACCCCATGCACTCAAGTGGCTGAAGATCCAGACCCAGCAGCCTCTGGGGCAGTCCAGAGTGGAATGGCCCCTGACCACATGGGATACTCAGTTTTCCCACATAGGAAGACCCTGACTCCCCCTCTCTGTGCATCAGAAAGCCAGCATTGGGGGGATCAAACATAAGGTCACGTGATGAGTTGATGTTTCTCGTATACTAGCTTAGTACAGTGTTCTAGGACCTTTCTTTACATGTTCTCATTTGATCCCTAAAAGCAACCCTACAAAGGAGGTCTAATGATTTTGTCCATTTTGCAGTTGAGGCAACTGAAACACAGAGAGATTAGTTAAGTTAACCAAAGTCACTTAGCTAGTAAGAAGCAAAACTAGGAGGCAAACCCAGGCTGTTCAGCTCCTGAGACTGAACTGCTGCCCTATGCTGTTTCCAGGGTGTCTCAGTAGCCAATGCTGATGGTCTTTGGATGACAATGACAATGGGGCCAACGCCCCAGTGTGGTTGTGAGGTTTCAAAGTGAACTGATACATAAACTGCGAAGCACCCCAACTAATAAAGGTTGCAATTATTGTGGAGTGCAGTGGCTCATGTCTGCAATCCCAACACTTTGGGAGGCCAAGGCAGGAGGATCACTTGAGCCCAGGAGTTCGAGACCAGCCTGGGCAACATGGTGAGACCCCATCTCTACAAAAACTTAGCTGGGCATGGTGGCAGGTGCCTGTAACCCCAGCTACTTGGGAGGCTGAAGTGGAACGATTGCTTGAGCCCAGGGGGTCGAGGTTGTAGTGAGCACTGTTTCACTCCAGCTTGGGAGACACAGCAAGACCCTATCTCAAAAAAAAAAAAAAAAGTTGCAATGATGTCAATAATCATCAGGCAGCATAACATGGGGTGAAGAGCACAGAGTCAGAATCCTGATGGCCATGGTTCAGATCTCATCTTTGCCTCCTCATGTATGAAGCACGGCAAGTCTCTCAGTCCCTGTGTGCTTCAGTTGCCTCAACTGTAAAAGGAAATAAGAGTTCCTACCTTATCGGTTGCTGGGAGGATGAAATAATTGAATTTTTAAGTAGTTAGAAGGTGACACAGTGGGCATGATGGCTCATGCCTGTAATTCCAGCACTTTGGGAGGCCGAGGTGGGTGAATCACCTGAGGTCAGGAGTTCGAGAACAGCCTGGTCAACATGGTAAAAACCCATCTCTACCAAAAAAAAAAACAAAAATTAGCTGGGTATAGGTGGCACGTGCCTGTAATCCCAGCTACTCAGGAGGCTGAGGCAGGAGAATCACTTTAACCTGGGAGGCAGAGGTTGCAGTGAGACAAGATTGTGCTACCATACTCCAGTGTGGGTGACACAGCAAGGCTCCATCTCAAAAAAAAAAAAAAAAAAAGGGTGACACATGGTACATACTTGCTAAGCATTGGCAATTATTATCATCATCGCCATGATTTTCATCATCACTAGTCACTGTTATGAGCATCACGGGTCTTTCAAGGAGGTCTGCAAATCAGAGAACTTCTTGTTTCTTTACTGAGTGAATAGATGAGACCCAGCAAGGGTGAACGGCGAACAGAGGTGTGTTTCAAACAAAGGGCCTTGTCCGTCATCTCCTTAAGGGGGGTGACCCCCACTGACTCCTTCCTTAACGTCCTACTGGAGTATTCTCAGTTTTCAGCTGAACTGCTACAAGCCCAGTTTACGATCAAGGAGAAAACGTCAGGCCAATGTTTGCAATCGAATTGAGGAATTCCCTGAGGACAGGTCCTTCATAAACACAACAGAGGGGCTGGGTGCGTGGCTCAGGCCTGTAATCCCAGCACTTTGGGAGGCCCAGGCAGGTGGATCACTTGAGCCTGGGAGTCTGAGACCAGCTTGGGGAACACGGTAAAACTCCATCTCTACAAAAATACAAAAAATTAGCCGGGCGTGGTGGGGTGTACCTATAGTCCCAGCTACTCGGGAGGCTGAGGTGGGAGGATCTCTTGAGCCCAGGAGGTTAAGGCTGCAGTGAGCCTGGGCGACAGAGTGAGACTTTGTCTCAAAAAACAAAATAAATAAAATAAAAGCAACAGAAGACCGACCATTTTCTCATTTCTTACTAATGACCTCTGCTGTCATGGGGTAGACCTGACTCTCCACACGGATCTACACGCCTGCGCTCATAGGTGACTTTACCTTTACGCTAAAAATGGGCTCCGGCAGACAAAAGCCACTCATGACGTTGGTGAGGTTTTCCAGGACGCTGTGGAAGACCTGGTGCAGTTTCTCTCCAAGGATGGGCAGTGTCTGCTGGGCAGGGAGTTCTCCTGTGAACGGTTCAGCCTGATGAGACACCACAAGAATGACAGGTCAGGAAAACTCTGGGAATCCCAAATGGGACGGGGCAGAACGGGAGGCGGGGCAGATCCGCTGGCTTCCATATCAAGTGAGGATGAGGCCTGAGGAAAAAATCGAAGACAATGTACTGGAAAGTTAAAATGGCCAAACTCACACCCCAGTATGGGTTTTCCAAACCATTCCTTTTGAGTTCAAGACCAGCCTGGCCAACACGGCAAAACCCCATCTCTACTAAAAATACACAAAAAATTTAGCCAGTCACAGTGGCGCGTGCCTGTAATCGGAGCTACTCCAGAGGCTGAGGCAGGAGAATCAATTGAACCTGGGAGGCGGAGGTCGCAGTGGGCCAAGATTGTGCCATTGCACTCCAGCCTGGGAAATGGAGTGAAATTCTGTTTTCCTCCACAGTCTGATCACGGCTTCTCCATCTGGGCCCCCACAGCCCAGGGCCAAGGGCAGTGTTCTAACTACACTCACCAAGTAAAATTACTTGATCTCCCAGTCTGTCTCACAAGCATTTACGTGAGGCTCAGGGAATGGGTGGCCAGGCCCTACCTTATTAACCCAGCACAGGAAATGTGTGCTGAAAGGAATCACAGTGCAGGTACCTGGACCTGCCCACTGATCCAAAAAGGCCCAGTCTATTCCTAGCTTTGGGAACTCCCTAAAGAGACTAATGATGCCAGGCACAGTGGCTCACCCTTGTAATCCCAGCACTTTGGGAGGCCAAGGTGGGCGGATTGCTTGAGGCCAGGAGTTCAAGATCAGCCTGGCCAACCTAGTAAAACTCCATTACTACTAAAAATACAAAAATTAGTCAGGCATGGTGGCACAAACCTGTAGTCCCAGCTACTTGCTACTCGGGAGTCTGAGGCAGGAGAATTGCTTGAACCCAGGAAGTGGAGGTTGCAGTGAGCCGAGACCATGCCACTGCACTCCAGCCTGGGTGACAGAGTGAGACTCTGTCTCAAAAAAAAAAAAAAAAAAAGAGAGAGAGACTAATGAAAAGAATTGTAACAACAGTAATTTGCAGCAACATGGATGGAACTGGAGGATATCAGATTATTATGTGAAATAATCTGGGCACAGAAAGACAAATTTAGCATGTTCTGACTCATATGTGGGAGTAGAAAATTAAAACAAATGGACTCACGGAAATAGAATGTAGAATGATGGCTGCCAGGGTCTGGGAAGGGTAATGGGGCTGGTGGGAGTGGGGATAGTTAATGGGTACAAAAATATAGTTCAATAGAATGAATAAGATCTAGTATTGAGGCTGGGCATGGTGGCTAACACTTGTAATTCCAGCACTTCAGGAGGGCGAGGCGGGCGGATCACCTGAGGTCAGGAGTTCCAGATCAGCCTGGCCAACATGGTGAAACCCCATCTCTACTAAAAATACAAAAATTAGCCGGGCATGGTGGCAGGTGCCTGAAGTCCCAGCTACTCGGGAGGCTGAGGCACGAGAATCGCTTGAACCCTGGAGGTGGAGGTTACAGTGAGCCAAGATCACGCCACTGCACTCCAACCTGGGTGACAGAGCGAAACTGCATCTCACAAAAAAAAAGAAAAAGATCTAGTATTGATAGCACAACAGGGTGACTCTATAGTCAATTAAAATTGAATGTATATTTTAAAATAACCAAAAAAGTAGAATTGGAATGTTCCTAGCGCAAAGAAATGATAAATGCTTGAGGTGATAGATACCCCAATCACCCTGATTTGATTATTAGACAGTATATGCCTATATCAAAGGTCACATGTACCCCATAAACATATACACCTATTATTAGACTGTATGCCTATATCAAAAGGTCACATGTACCCCATAAATATATACACCTATTATGTACCTATAATTATAATTTTTTTAAAAAAGAAAACAAATACAATCAATAGAATACTCTGGAGAAAAGAGAAAATGTGATATTTGTAAATGCTTTTTTTGCTGGACAGATGTACTAATTATTTTAGAGTCTTGCTTAGGAGGGTGTAAACATTCATTCATTCATCAAGACTTATTATTTCTCAGCACCCATTATGCCGCGAGCACTGTGCTAAGCCCCAGGATCACAACAGGAACATCAAAAGTAGTCCTTGACCTCAGGGACTCATAGGTAATGACAGGGCTTGACAAACGCTGAAAAATTAACAGGAATCTAAATTGGAGGTCCCCCCAAGAGCCTGAGCTCAGGGTCACATGACAGACACTCTGGTGCACCCCCTAGTGGTCCTGAGGAGAGGGTGATGGCCCCGGCACCTGCACTGCTATACATTCATCCAACAACCAATATTTACAGAGCACCTCTGACGTACCAGCTCCTGTTTTTGGCACTGGGGACCCAGCAGTGAGCAAGAAAGCCAAAAAGCCCTGTTCTCCTGGTGTTTCCAGTCTCCTGGAGGCCAAATAATAAACCAAGAAGACAATCAGTGAGGTCGTCTCTGTGAGGTGTGGTGTGTGTTTGCACATGGGTAGAGGTGAGCACAATTTTTTAAAGGGCGGTTGAAAGAGACATGACAACTATATGCAATGCACTAACCTGGATGGGATCCCGAACATTAGGTAAAAACTAAGAAAATCGTACACTCACGTCCATAGTTGCCTTATTCACAGTAGCCAAAAGGTAGAAACAATCCTAGTGTCTATCAGTGGACGAGTCAATAAACAAAATGTGATATACCCCTACAAGGGAATATTATGCAGCCTTAAAAAAACAGGGACATTCTGCCACATGCTATAAGATGGATGAAACTTGGAAACATTATACTAAACGTAGTCACAAAAGGTCAGATACTATATAGATTCCACCTATATGAGGCACCTAGAGGAGTTGGATTGATAGAGAGAAAGCAGAATAGTGGTTGCCAGGGGCTGGAGGGAGGAGGGAGGAGGGAGTTACTATTTAATGAGTGTCAAGTTTTAGTTTTGCAAGTGTTGGAGATGGATGATGGTGATGGTTGTGCAACCATGTGAATGTATTTAATACTGCTGAAGAGAACATTCAAAAATGGCTAAGACAGTAAATTTCATGTTATGTGTATTTAACCATAATTTTTAAAAAATGAACTAAGGAAATCTGAGTGAACAATAAGGTACCAAAATTGGTTCATTAAATGTGACAAATGGACCATACTATTGCAATAATAGTTAAATTTAAAACAGTTAATTATTATTCTTAAACAATAATACCTAATATATCGATATTGGTTCATTAAATATGCCAAATGGA